TGGTTGCAGCCCGCGAACCGCGACGAAGATGCCGTGTATAATGGAGCTTGTTGAGCCCACCAACAGGGGGGGGGGGGTGAATACCGCACCGTCGGCAAATCACCCGCATCGGTAATAGTAAGTACAAGATATCGGGAATGCTGTATTTCTGGCGGCTGTGGGAGGTTCTAAACGAAGTCCTTTCACCGTAAAGATAACTACAACCGATTCGATTAGCCGATACACCTGTGTTAATCTGTCCCGAGTACCCTCAGGACATGTCCCACGATATCCTTACACTGGAAGCTTTTAGAAAGACCATGTGCCCTCGCTGTGAAAATATTAATGTTTGAACACAGGGAAAATGATAATGATGTATACTTTATTACATCCAACAGCAACTGCTGGGTAAGTTACTATCTAAAGGAATCTAAGCTTAAGCAAGTATATTTCTTTATTTCGCAATGATATCTAGTTATTAAACAAAACATACCTATTTCAGAAGTCCACTGCATTTTTCACCGATGCTTGCTTGAGCCTCCTAGGCCTCCACCAAACCAATTTCTAAAATGGCTACGATTGACGAAAACATCATTGTGCAATACACTTATCGAACGTGTGAAACTTGACACATGGATAAAGCATAAGAGCCATGTCTGGATCTGAGCCACAAGAAAAATGGGCAATCTCCTGTATTCAGTCGGAAGTGTTGATATGAAGAATGTTCGTACCAAGATATATGTTACATCGACGATTAACTTCCCGCTAATTTTTCATCCGCGTTCTACAAAATCCAATCACAAGAAGCTGATTTAAGCCCGTATGACGTCATCTGGAGAAGAATGCCCACTGTTGCAATATGGTAGATTCAAATTTATAATTTGAAGCCAAGACTCATGTCTAAAGAATGATGTATCATGTTGAAGTTTTTGTATTACGAGTACCTTCTAGAAAACCTAAATTACTAAATGCCGCTAAAACGGGCGCATGACAGGAAAATGGAGCTGGATCTTACGATACATCTGCTAGGAGATTCAGCCGACTATCGATTCTATTGATCAGCAATACAAATTTGTCTTCACTTATTTGCATATCAATCAATAGTTCGTACTTATAAACCTGCCATTCTCCTGCAGTCTCTAGTGTCACTGTCGAAAGGTAGTGGATGCTACCTGAATCGTCTGACCGTTTCCAAAATCATATCCAGTTGCTTGAGTAACTGTTTTTGGCGTGTCTTGTTACCTTGATGTCTAACCTTCACCGAAGCGACGTGTTGATCGGCAATATGTCTATTAGTCGTAGTAGACTAGTAAAACTCTTTTACAGAACTGTCATGCTGATGATACCGAGTGAAAGAACACACAACGACACATGTAGTGCCACAGACAGGCAGTAATAGCATAAGGTGTCTCCCCCCGTGTGTCATATGATTTGTACCGTGCGGTACGGAAGTGTAGCCGACTGATTGGAGTCACGGGGAGCTGGGCGTCTGGCCACCGGCGTGTCGGCCGCCACCTGAGCCCGTGTAATTGATCGCAACTGCTGTTTTTCACATCTAATAAACTTCATTGCGCGACATATGCTTTTATTTCGCTACAGCGATGACTTTATTACACGCCTATACCATAATATCAATAAAACAGGTGTATGAACGTGTCTACATGTGCCAAGGCACGTACATGCATTCACCTATTCTCTGACTTTTTTCAGGACGTGAAACTTAATGATAATATAGTCCTTTCTTCGCTTCGTATGTACGGCAATGGATTTAGACGGCATTTTGTTGTAATTCTAAACTACACGACTAACTCCTTTCTGATCTCCAATATATAATTTCCTGTAATAAAGGAAGCCTGTAGGCGTAAAGCCTCAATAACATTACGCTAAATCCTCAGGGTGCAATGGCCGCGATTTACGTTACACGAGCGCACTTGCGAAATACTTTTTACCCTGCCCTCATAAATACACGTTTTCGGGAAATTGATTTTCGATTACGTGGGTCAATACATCATGTGTGAACCTTATGTAGGGAGGGGATTTTGTGACATTATCCTGTGTGTGTATGACGTGTTTGGGCAACAAGAGGTCAACATCATCTACCTGCAGGATTTAGCCAGTAAAAGGAATGGCTGTCCTGATATTTACGATTGGTGAACGATTGTTGTCGACAAATTGAAATGTAAAATTTGAGCTAGATATGCAAACATTTTCTTACAGGCCAAGATTGTCCAATAGTGCCTTGAACTTCAAGTTTAACCCACAAGGGGAATAGATCGTAGCATCATTTCACGTTTTAGCCGTACATGCACCATATGCTTTGCGTGGGGTTAAAAAGAACCCGGAATAAACTTTTCGTCTTGTTTCTGTGAATGTTAAGCCCCGTTTATATGTTACATGTTTGGCGTACCATAAAAAGACCAACCATAAAGCATTACTTGCGGCCTTACTTTATGTCAATCATCATTCTATTTTGATAGATGATTATCACTATATCATTTGTAAAGATTTGCAGGGAGATGGCAACGACGTACCAGTCATTCACTCCAACCGGTACCCTCCCATCAGTGGCAAAATCACCGGAATCAAAGTCACATCCAGGCAGACAGCAAAGGGATACAATACATATGATCAAGCCCCCATCATAACAGAAATTGCTGTACTTGTGATAATCCAACAGATAAGTGTCTATGGCATCATTTTCGTGTCAAAAAATCGTTTCAAAAATGGTACCTAAATTGACTTAAATACGTCTACGATGCTGCATTATTTTAAAAACGTCGTTTTGAATACAGGAAGGGGGCCTTACGTAGGGGCCTTTATCATAGTGTCCATCTATGATCTAAACAAGTTTGGCTTCTTCCTCAGTTTCCTACACGGTGATGAGTGGTGTGATTCCCTGTCAGCTGGCCAGGTTGTTCCTTATCTGTCTGACGGTATTGATTTTGTTCCTCCTCCCGTCGCCGTGATCGTTAAGCCGCAGATTGATTCTAAGTAAAACGGGGCATTAGAGGGTAATAATATCCGTAATTGGACTCCAGCCCGGGCCGGATGGGAACATCTCTTGTCGGAGATGATGATGAATTTTGTGAAATGGCCTGGCTACAATTACGGCGTTCACTCGGGAACTGTGGCTGTCTGAAGGTTCATGTGCCATCCTGATATCCATCCATATTTAGCTCATTGGCTATATCCATATTTGCGGTGAGGTCTTGATAATTCCACGGAGATAAAGAAGACAGATACCTGATTAGCACGTACGTGTGAACATTGATACAAGCTATACTATGTACGTAAGTGCTACGTACATTCACATGGCAAGTGAGTGTACGTGACAATTTGATATGCACCAAGTTGGACTAAAATAAAGTGCAAATGGTAGCGAAATGAAATCAGACAAAATATTCGTCTCCAAAGTTTTATTTCATCAAATTTCTCATGCGTCTCTTCAATATATGTAAGAATAACAACAAGACATAAGCTATGCAAGTATCTTTTTTATAGATGACATGATTTGGTCTATGTGTTGTAGTATATTTTCTGGCTCCGTTCGCTTTGTTCGGATATAGAAAAAATACATTTCTCTTTCCTTTCCTTTTTATCTTTTTTTAATCGAGTTACTTTGAATTGTAAACGTATATAATAGTCGAAATCTACATTCATAATCTTTTGGGAAGATGACACAACACCCCTAGCGGAGCAGTGCAGCACGACATGTATTTACAGTGACTTGTATTAGAAGAAATGAGCTTAAAGCGATGTACAGGCAAATCAAACAAACATTATGTAAGAGTTTCTTGTGATCTGAGCCCTTTGCGTTCAATGAAGTCTACACGTAGTCTGTATTACACATTGCATCTCTCACTGCGTTTCCCGTGTGGGCCGCTAGGAGCGTTATTTGCACCCCTAGCCGATACTGTCGAAGTCCTCGTCTACGAAGGATGTCTCCTGTGAGGAGGGAGCCTCGTCCCCAGCGTCCGCATGGACCTGTACCAGCTGGTAGCCCTCGGGAACGAGAATGGAGGCGGCCCCTCGAGCGGACAGCCTTCCTGTCGTCATTCGTCTGAGGAAAACGAAATGTGGAGAAACGATAGTCAGATGCAGTCTTTATCACAAAAACTCTAACTCTTCATGGTTCTATTCCAAACAAGCTCTGACCATTGGGAGGGCTACTGGAAGCACGATTTAGCCAGCTTATGCAGATCGATCCTAATGCTTAGATCTTCATTTCTGCGTTCGATTACAAAATATCTTTATTATGAAACAATTTTAAATTGTTATTTCCAATACAAATAAGAAACTGGACTCAAAATTTCGACAGTACATCTCCAGTCTTTGTAATTTTATTTTAAGGAATGAACTTTCAAAAATAAAATATCTTCATGATAATGTCTATTCAATTGTTTGCTTTTTTTGACACATTTAAGACAGGTGGTCCTTGCCTTTGCTGGGCGAATCCGCCAGGAGGCGCCTGTGGATGCTGCTGTGGATGCGGCTGTGGCCCCCTGCCCGCCGTGTGGCCCATGGGGACGGCCACCAGCCTGGTGCCCGGCTGCGGGTTGTACTGCACCCGGCGGAACCGCTGGTGCGGCTGGGACTGTACCATCTGCTGGTGGTGGGGGGTCAGGATCACGCCTTCGTACGGGTTGACGTACTGCCTCACGGGAAGGAACCTGAGGAACAGGTGTTTGAAATAATCTCTCCATCCTCATGTTTTGAGAGAATTCGAAAAGCTGTTTTTCCACAGGAATGGAATAGCAAGAATTAATACCACTTTTACTGCAAAACACCTCACATTCATTTGGTGCATTTTCCTGCAGTATTATAATAAATAGAAAGTATGGTTATCATATCAAAGACGGACCAATCATACACACTTTACAAGAAAGAATCACTTCAGAGGTGCCAACAGACCTGACTTGAGGTGAGAATGCCCTTTGGAACCCGACGGATCCCCCGGGCCCTCGGGACCCGGCCTTGGGCCCGAACCTCGGCAGAGGTGTGCCCGGGGGAAGGCGACCGTTCGGGACCTGGGCCTTGTGTCTTGACCTGACGTGACTGGATCCCGAGCCGTCACTCTGGTCGTTCTTAGCCGCCGACATTTCGTAAACTTTCTTTTTTCCTTCCGTCCTTTCCTTTAATAAAGAGATGTTCGATACAATTGATAAGACATAATTGTGATTTTCTCTATCTAATCTATACTGTCATTCGAATTGTACTAGCTTAAAATGTCAAAAATACTGTGGCGTGTAAGGTAGTGGGCAAGGTAAGAAAACAAAATGAAGACTCACGTATTGTAGCTGTATCCTTAGATCGTTGTTGGCCTCTTTGTACGATCGAACCAACGACTGTAGATAGTAAATCGCCATTCTAAATGACATAGAATAAAAAGTACATTTTAATATGAACAACAACAACAATCAAAGATAGAGAGGTAATAATGATTTCAACTTTGGAACCCAATATGCCATTTTAGAAACGGCCACCTGGCGGCAAACAACATAAATTCACACAGCGCAGTAGACATCACAAAACATCAGCCTTTGTATGTAGTAATGTTAACTTTACCCACACGAGAAGCATGAAGACGGGCAGGATGACCCCGGCAGTGCTCATGTAGCTGAGGACGGTGGTAAGCCAGGCCGGGAACTGCTCCCTTACCGTGTCCGGGATGATGTCAAACATCCGCCGCCTGCCGCTGCAAATACACAGCATAGAAAATCTGTTATAAATATAGTGTATAACACACATCCAAGAGTATTCTCCTGCGACTGATTTTCGTTAGTAAAGTTTCCCCGTTGAAATTGGTGTCCGGCAGGGCTGCGTGCTCAGCCCCTGCTTATTTAACATGTATATAAGTGATGCCATAAACCATCTAAACACAGAATACTTAGATGCTCCTGTGTTGAATTCTTCAAAAGTGACAAGCTTATTTTATGCAGATGACATCGTGCTGTTGTCAGAGAGTCCACAGGGATTACAACAAGCGATTGATATACTTGGGCAGTACTGTCAAAAATGGAAATTATCTATCAACCTTACAAAAACGAAGATTGTAATATTCAACAAAAAAGGTCATATATTTTCAAACCTAAAATTTCAGCTTTCAGGAAGCACTATAGAGATAGTACCATCATATTCTTACCTTGGGGTTGTATTTACAGCGGGATGTAGCTTTAACCCCGCCATGAAAGTATTACAAAAAAAGGCCCTGAGAGCGCTGTTTAGTATCAGAACTACTCTTGGTGATACTAAATCTTCAATTCCTATATACTGTAAACTATTTGATTCATGTATTGCCCCAATATTGTTGTACGGTGCGGATGTCTGGTGTAATAATAATTTGAACGACAGCTCCCCTATAGAACTTGCACACTTAAAATTTTGTAAATTTATTCTGGGAGTGAAAAGAAATGCCAGTAATCTTGCCAGCAGAGCTGAGCTCGGCCGTTTCCCCCTATGGATAGAAGCTTATTGCAGACTATATAATTATTACTGTAGATTAGTTAGTAACGTAGACACAAATAGTTTGCAATATGAAGCTTTTATCGTCCAAAAAGACCTAGATCGACAACATGTACCCTGCTGGCTGTCTAATGTAAGAAAAATGTTAGAGGAGTCCGGTTACGCCTTTCTATTTACAAACAACAGTCTGAACTTGTCTGCTTATTCACTTGATTTTAAGAAAAGACTACAAGATATTTTTATACAGAAATTCTATTCTGAATTAAATTCAAACGGCCGAGGAAACAACCAAGGCAACAAATTAAGAACATACAAACTGTTCAAAGTTACATATAATAAAGAAAAATACCTAAGTATCCCAAATCCCGAGCATCGCCGGACCATGTCAAAACTACGAATTAGTGACCATAATTTACACATAGAAACCGGCAGACATAACCGGACTCCTGTAGAAGATAGACTCTGTAAGGTTTGTAACTCTGGTAGTGTAGAAGATGAAATACATTTTGTACTTGATTGTAAATTGTTTGATATTGAACGTGACACACTATTTAGAACAATCCACTTAGACAAACTGTATAAAGGTAGAACAAAGAAAGAGGTATTCAGTCATCTCATGTCCACCAGTAATGACCATACAATAGAAAAACTTTGTGAGTTTATCTCCACTTGCTTTAAAAAGAGAGAAGAAATCCTTAAGGCTTAGTTTAGTTTATTCTCTGACTAGTAGTTGTTAAGACGTTACGTCATTCTGTTATTCTGTTATTCTTGTATCTTATGTATCATGTTACTCAGATTGATGTACATGTAACATCACTTTCTGATGTATGCATTTAGCCCCATGGGCATGAACATGCAAATAAAAAAAAAAAATAAAAAAAATAAAAAATAAAAAAGTATTTCTGTAATCTCCAAGCAGATTCATTTGACGGCAATGCAGTTTACTTCCTGCTGCTAAGTGGCGCTGCACTGCAGTGGGAAGGATACGGTCCCAAACGTAACTAAGATTTTACTGACAAAACTCAGTGTTAATTATCACAAGAGCTATGCCTAACCTAAATGATCCACAATTCCTGGAAGGTTCTATAGTACTACGTTGACAGGGTTTACCTAAACGGTCCACAGTTCCTGGAAGGTTCTATAGTACTAAGTTGACGGGGTTTACCTAAACGGTCCACAGTTCCTGGAAGGTTCTATAGACACCATGACGTAGCCCGTTGGGAGCATGCTGAGAAACAGCATGATGAGCAGCAGGACGAAGTAGAAGTTGTTGGACCTGGAGGCGCGGAAGACCCGCTGGTGAGGCGTGTTACACATGATGACTGCCCAGCTCCGCAGGTACATCAGGGCGATCAACTTCAGGACGTTCAGGACAGGAAGGCAGGGTGCGAAAAACGCCCCCATCCTGTAGAGGAGGGAACTACAGTAATGAAAATACTCAACAATAGCCTTCTCCTACCGGAAATATCCAAAGGGCAAAAGCAATTGTATCAACAGAGTGAGAAAGAAAGAATCGTATACCAGATCATTCCTTGGTTGTAGATGAGGTGTAGCACGTTTTCTGCAACCCCGAATTCCCCATAGCCCGGCTGGAATAAAGGGAGAGCCATTGATATGAATCATCTATCGACATACGTCCTGCCCATTGCTCAACGGAACTTTGTTTTGCCTCAAACTCTGTTAAACTGTTCTTTTTTTTTATTTTTTGGGAGCCCAGTAGGAAAAGTTGCCTTTTAAATGAATTAGGTTGAATCTATTTAATATTTAAGAACAACTGGTTATTCCCACTTACAATCTTGGCCTCCAGGTCCCAGCACCAGCAGTAGTTAGCAAACCTCACAAACAGCCCCCGGAGGAAGTCCACAATGATGGTAGTCACCAGGGTGGCGATCATGTCAAACACCGACAACTTGTACATCTCCTGCGAAAGATGGAACAGGACGAAGATTTTGAAAAGGTGTGTCATCAAATTGGCATACTAGCATGAAAGTTCATCTGTTCTCCAACTCAAGAAAAGTGACTCACCACGAATCTTCGACCAAATCATTCGGTCTTCTTCAGCTTTCTGACCCGAGTGCTATAGACACGTGACTTTTACATCAGGGCATACCAACCTTTGCTCAACCAGGACGGGGGGCGGTACCGACTTCCGACGAACTTTGACCCAGTATTGACATCTTATGTGGGTAAAAGTCATGTGTCTACAGCACTCGGGTCAGAAAGCAGATGAAGACCGAGTGATTCGGTCGGAAATTCCTGGTGAGTCACTTTCCTTGAGTTGGAGAACAGTTTGATAATTTTCATTATCAAATTGGCATTTTTTTGACGATAAAAGCGAGATGCAGTTCACAGTTCAGTGTGAGCATGCATATACCTGTCCCACGATGGTTTCCCAGCATTGCTCCTTGATCCCCGCCAGCCTGGTGAGGGTGTCCACCACCTGCGTGTCGTTCGCGGTCTCCAGCATGTGCTCGTCTAGCTGCAGGATCTCCTGTATCATGCCTGAGGCCGTCACGTTCTGCAGAGCCCAGCTGGCGTTCTGACAATAGGAACAAAGGTATGCTTTAGGCTCTGTTCTTGAGGCGTTACCAAAAATTGCACCCTTTCATACTATTTGTATTAAGGTAGACGTACATGTAGATTGCCGACATTTGACCTATACGGTTGTCGATTTTCAGAGGAATGTAAGCAGCTTTAGCTTTACCTACCTCGGACACCTGGTGCAGAGTGTCCAGAGCTACCCTGGCTTTCCTTGCCTCTTCAGCCTAAGTACCAGAAAACAGCACGACAAATGACAAAAATCCTCGGAAAAAATACTAGTACGATTTCACAAATCTCAAGATTCCTGCACAGTCAATAGATGACAACTTTGTGATATTTTGTAAAAACACAAAATACGTCATCTGTGTTTCGGATGCTTCTGTCTATCATGCATGAAATATGATGGAAAAATATTATGTAGAATTCTAAAGCAAAACCTGCAGAATTACAACTCACCAGGTTGTTGACCTTCTTGAAGAGCGCGATCATGAGCGTGTAGAGGTTCCCCAGGTTCAGAACCATGATCCGGGCCAGCTGCCACTGCAGCATGACGCGGGGGTGGTACTTCTCCATCTGACCAATCAGGTCGAAGAACACAGGGAATACCATGGTGATGATAGACACTACCATGGAGACCTACAGGAAAAAGACGTTATAGTTGAAGTTGTAGCATTACAACATCTGGTACTTAGTAGGAAATGCTTCATACATGTCTTTGTAAAGATAAATCCTCAGGCCAAAACACCTCATTATTATGACAGAACAAACTTTACAATCTCCAAGTAGATCCTAGAGTAGTAAAAGACAGTATCAAATTGGCCAGTCAGTATCCATTCGCCATAGAGGGTCTAGTAGCCACCCAAGGCGAATCCATTTCTTTGGCCACCCTTGGATCTTCTTGGAGATTACAAACTTGAAGGGTAATGGTGGCACAATGCCTTATCCTATACTTAAGAACCTGGCATAAACCACAGTGTGAAAAATCCTTTAATGTATTAAGCAAGAGTAATGTCAAAGTAAAACTTGTTGACTGACCAATAACATTGCGGCATCATAATCAATTTGGATGAAAGCTTCTGGCGAATGTCATCCTGCTAATTTGCATGCTCACCTCGTTCTGTTCCCACCAGTTGAGCAGGGCCTGGTCCATCTTCTCGAACTGCTCGGACCTCTCCACCACCAGCTGGATCGCGTACCCGCTCCCGGCCAGCAGGATCACGATCAGGAAGTTCGCCAGGATCCGGAGGATCAGGATCAGGCATCTACAACAGATCACGTCAACAGAACGGAAGTATTGCTATCACCACTTCAAACAGCCTCAAGTACGTGTAGTCAAGCCAGAAAGGCGTTTTCAGCATCAGAGTTATACATTTCCCGTGCTTAAGAGAAAGAATACGCATTTGATAATAATCTTGATCATTTTCGTAACTTTAATGTACGGCTCAAATTCCCCAAAACTCAACAAGAAATGGCATTATATTAGACATTCTAAAAAATAGGGGCATTTAGAATTGTAACCAAAAGAGACTGGGGGTGTCCTCTAGTAGCTGTGCCTAAATTTGGTCGTTATCTCCGGTTTAATTTTGAACCCCATTACGTCCTATCTATAAGATGATTAACGTAGAGAAGATGTATGCTGAGGGATGTCTACTTACTTTTCTTTCATACTGTCAGTTCATGGAGTATGGCCAGGAAGACATTTTACACAGGGGGAGAAAACAAGTGATTAAGGTGTAAAGAGATAGCCAAGTGCATCACTGAATATTTCAAAAAAGGAAAGTCAGTAAAAGAGAGGTAGATGACACAATTGCACAGAACATTATTCTACTAAACCTTCTTTCGTCTCTATTCTTTTCCTCTTCTTCAAGTATAGCCTCCTATTTGGGAAGCGAAAACCATCAATTAGATGACAAAATTTAAACTTTTAAAATTGCAATCAGAAAAAACAGAAATTGTGAATATCGTACGCAGGCCCTCAACGACAACTTTCGACGCCTACGCAAACCATTTCGTCGCCTAAGAAACTAAGGTGAACCCTGTCGTTGTTATCGTCGTTGTGGGCCTTCGTAGTATAACTGAAATGCGTCTCGGAGGCAATAACGAAATTCGTGGCACCCTGATTCCAGTGGAGATGGCGGCAAACTTGTTATCGGCGGTGTCCGACTGTCCGATCAGGTAGTCCCACCCACAGAACACCTTCCAGCAGAACGTGAACTGGTCGTCTTCGGTAGACAGCTTCGCCATGCGGGAGTTCTTCGCCATCCTTTATAACACAGGGAAGAGTAACTTACTCATCCAGACAACGGTAGGACAGCGATTATGACTGTTACTTAACACACCGATTAAGCATTTACGTTGATGAATTGACAATGTTTTTCAACATAGATAAGATATTCTAAGATATACCTACAGGCATGTCGTTCGAAATAAGACTACGCCAGTATATGGCCCCCTGGAGTAATTTAGAAAATGCGGAACTGACTTTCTGAGAATGACGGCGAAGCTGTAGACAAAGATGCCGATCCCGGTCAGGAAGTACGCCAGCGGTAACTGGTACCCACTGCCGATGGACTTCTGGTTACTATAGTAACCATAGAACAGGACTGAGAACTTCATGTAGCCCTGTAGCCATAGGAAAGGAAAGGTCGCTATCGTAAAAGGAAGGAAGTCTTGTACTAGACAAAATGACTAACTAGAAAGGTAACATTTGCAAAGCAAATGCATAATGTTTACCTTCGCATATGGTCTGCTCTTACTCAAAGACATTCACATATATGGTGACAGGAGTCTAAATCCCTCCTACTATAGAATTGCAACATTATGTAACCCAACACCAGTTACCATGGTGAGAGACAGTCTGATCAGAAACGTAGCAAAAACAAGATGTTTTCCTTCGAAACAATCTATTCAATTTTTTGTTTAAATTCCACTTGACGATTTGAAGCAATAAACTCCAAGAAAGGTAAGTCTTGACTCGTACCCCAAAATCCCAAATAGTCGCGATGTTCTCTGCGCGGTGCATTTCCGGTTCCGGTACTGCCTTCCTCGGTAAGGAGCCGTACGGTAAACCCACCAGAAGCTGAGGAAATAGGTGAAAACTCTGTGGCCACATGTAACCAGGTTTAACCGGCCAAAATGTACCCCAGGCCAGAATACACCGAGGGATATTCTGGCCAGGGGTATATTACGGCCTGTTACACAGGATGCTAAGCTGTCAATGTCAAATGTTATAGATATCAGAAGAATACAATTCTGTTGTATTATTAATGTCATATTCATGTTTAAAGCACTATGGCAGAAAGTAAGGTATAGCATGTTGTCAATTTTAGTTAAGATCTTAACTGAATTTATTTCCCACACGCTTAACTTACCTCTGGTAAAACCACAAATGACAGCATCAAAATGGACAGGGCGATGTTTATCCAGAACAGCCACCGCAGGAAAATGAAATATGACGCTACCACCGATCCGAAGTAACCTGAAAACAACGCAATTTCGGAATATGAGACCTGGAATGGGCTAAATCATGTGGGAAATTACGAGAACCGTTACCTTTTCACAATAAAGCACAGACAATGCGCTATAAATCTGACGTTTCAATTTCCACTTGACTTTGTATCCACCACAAAACGCACGCAGAGGTAGTTTACAGAGCTGCACCACTATTGCATGCATCGTTTTTCATCTCTCGACGACAAATCGTTTGTTTAAAGATGTTATTAGTCATTGCGCATATCTCTGACATGGGGTACTACTGCATGTTTTCTTGTCGGGTGTGTTTTCAAAAGGTATTTAGGGATATTTGTCGATTTCTGATTTACTGGTCTTAGGCTCTTGACAGTATTGTATTTATGGCCAGTCAGTCACATAAGAAAAGATTAATACTCCATATATAGTTAAGTAGAAATGGTGACTATGGAATGTCTCTGTGATGTTTCGCAAAGTAACAACACTAAAATGCATGCCTGACACAACGTCAAATCTCTGAATTTGGAATACATGAATCTAGATATTTTCTTACTTTCTATTGTTTTTATCCTGGTGTCCCATGGGATGAAGAATGTGGCAAAGTTGGCGAGCTCTCTCCTAATTTTCTTCCAAACCTGCAAAAACAAGCAAACGAAACGTTACTAACGATACTTCCATGAAAGGCCATGTTCAAAATCACTGTAAAATGGCTAATCACTACCGAATGACATGTAGATATTTCCTATCCCGTAATCTTATGAATGTGTTGACAGAGACATACCCTTTCAGTTGCCTCCTGGTACCCTCTGCTCTTGGACAGTTTCCCCTCGTACTTTTCAAGATAGTCCTGGGCAACTCTGTGTGTCAAAACATTTTATTTTATTTCATTTTTTATTCACATGGATTAGTGAGCATTGGACGGAAAGCACGTAATGTATATATATAAGGATACAAAAAAAAACATAAACACAGGTTGAGGTTACCGTAACAAATACAAAATGTACAGTGGACGTAAAATGAAAATGGCTGGCGTACCAACAGAACCCATAACATTAGTGTGATGAATCAAATCTTCAAGACAGTGAAATGAAATTGAACACAATATCGAAAATACGGCAATTTGTAGAGTATGGGAGGGAGAGACTACCGGTATGTCAAAACATTCAGAGAAAATTGCCATCTCCCATGTAGTAATCTAGAACATGTACAATTCGAATATATGGTCTGAAAGATTCTTTACGTTATGCTTGTTGGTAGTCAGCGTTTGATAACTTTTCATGTCACAAATACTACATGTATTTTGATATCACAAAACAACTATGTCGCAATTAAAGATTATGACTGAGACAGGATCCTATAGGTTAATGTGAACCGATCCTTTTTGTCAGGACATAAGACTATAAAACCAAAAACTCATAAGCCTTTCATTGCTGTAATACTTTATCAAATGTTGGTCTCCCTGACACGAGCGTCACAATATACAACGCGAATTTCCCAAAGGGGGAGGGGGCGTGTGTGATTATTATGAGACGAACTTGGGTCTGTGCCAAGGGGTACATTTGTGGTCAACGATTAAGCCGTCCTAAAGCACCGTGTAGCAAGTAAACAGCAAATCTTTCAATGAGCTTTTCTAGCATCTGTGCCAAGATGTGAACCATATCACACTGCTGCAGCCTGCGTTCATAGCAACAGATGCGAAGCATTGTTAGCAAGAAGATTGTAAAGTTTTGTCATGTTTTTGTCTTAAAGAACTTTGGTAAGGAGGCGACCGGAGGTCTTATGTCGCCATACATACGCTAAGTACAATATATTGTTTTATGGAATTTCTAGCACGTCTTTCTCTACCCCATTTTGACTTCTCACTTCCCTCCCCTTGTTGAATATTGCCCAATTCATCATCCCATCATCCAGGCTTCAATTTGAGGGAAGGAACTTATAAAGGCCGAGAACGTCATAAAATCTGTATTGTATTCGGTCAAAGTCATAAACTTCTGAGCAAACATCCTGATGATTATATTGGCACGGACTCCGCTTAGCCCTAAATAATTCACGGACATCACGGCGTGGGCTAAGTCTGGTATTAAATCTAGCGGAGCAAACATCAGTCATAGTTTAGCTTCAAGTTGTAACGTTTGTCGACCTCACAAAATCGTGAGCGTCGCTAGCTTGAGAATGGAATAAGCAGCTGCCGCCGCGCCGCGTGCCTGCGAAGCTGGTGTGTTACGCCGAAGGGGGGTTATACCGGCTATACAGATACAGATACAGTTGAAGCGGTCAAAGTTGGTTCTTTGTGTACCTCGTGTTTAGGTGTAACAGAGTCTCGAGTCAATATGTCGTTACTTTAACTGTAGCACATATAGCAATATATTTAATATGTGGAAAAATGATGAGCTGTAAAAAGACTAGAAAAGTCTTACTTGAGTGTCTTGAGTTTCTTCTTCATCCTCCAAGGCTGTTTGCGGATGGCTGCGATGATCTCCTTCTGTCTCTGGATGTTCTCCAGAATCTCCTCTTCTGTCGCGTCTTCGTCACTGGCGCCGGGTTTTAACACGTCATCACTGTCCCTGGGTACAACACAGACATTTGTCATCAGGATATTCATTGGTCAACACTATATGTACACAACACAAACATTTGTCATCACAACTTTCATTGGTCGACACCATATGTATACAACACAAACATTTGTGATCAGGACTTTCATTGGCCAACACCATATGTACACAACACAAACATTTGTCACCAGAACTTCCATTGGTCAATTGCAACACTGTGTACAGCACAAACTATTTTCAACAGACTTGACATTGCTCAATGCTGTGAAAAACATCAAGCCCGTCATTTCAAAACCTGGAAAAGTCTTTTCAAATAATATAAGGCAGACTGTCTCGGCAAAGATTTAGCATTCAAATTATTGAGAGACAAAATGGTATCATAATATTCTGTAAAGGACTTCATCTCAACGTACTGAAGCCAGTCATTTTGGTTGAAGCCTTATTTTACGAGACTATACCGACCGGCTCTTGCAGCTGAAGTTCCGTCGGAGGTAGTCCAGGTTCTCCCGCTGGCATCTCCGGATGGAAATGTGGGACTTGCGAGCCGGTCGGTGGTCCAGCGAGCGGACATTCACGTTCAGCGGGACCAGGACAGGCATAGTGCCGCTCTCCCGAACCACGTACCGGCGAACCTACAATCCTGGAATATCCCAAGTCTCCGAAAGACTGTTTAGACTACATTAGAACACTCCGTATCTCCAGAGTGTTGTTCTTTTGTTAATGGACTTTCTAAGCCTAAAGTATCAACAAGGTCGTCGATATCATTGAAGCAAAACATCCATCAGTGTTGAGGTGAAGTACTCTGGTTGCGCTGTTACCCTCCATGATCCACTTGCATCACTGCTGAGGCGTTTTATCCCCACAAAGGTAGAACGTGCTCGCTTCCTGAAAACTCCCCTTTCTCTGCGAAAGTGGATGGGACGCGTTCCAACTGGTCTCCTGCCGGACTGATCGTTCGGCGGCACGCCTCGGACGGTCGTCCAACCCTTTGTCCTTGAGTCCTCTATCAGGAAACAATAGGGCAAACATCTACGACAAGGTGCTCACCACACTAACATGCTGATATATTGGCTCAAGACTGGGAGTGGTAACGGACTCACGGCCACTTGGTAACCATACCATTGCTGCATCGCACGTTTAAGTGGTACCTTCTTCCAACGGTGACTGTCACTGCTATAACTTGAGTGGACTACATGAATTATATAACAAGCCCAAGGCTCCAACACGCAGCTCAGGTGTACAAAAGGCAGACAGTATAATGGATACCCCCGACCTATCCACGCACGCTCTAGCAGTCACGAGCTGTAATAGTGGCGTGGACTTTCGGGACTGCCGAGGTTGTGGTTAGTCTTTTAACTCACGGAATTCTCTTCAAAGTTTGCTACTAATGCCAGAGGTCTACCTAATCTCAAAGGTTAAACGAAACCCGTTATTCGGCCTTTTTTTCAGATCACCAAAACGACCCATCCATGTCTTTATCGATCGGTTAGGCTGTGATTTAAAGATCTCTGCTTCCATGAAGGAAAAGATCACTGAGGACGAACCACAAAACGTGCCCTGACGGAGCTCTCCGCACATCGCAGCACGTAATGTGGCCCCATGATTGATAGATACAAACTTCTAACCCGGGAGCTGGGCTTTCAAAGTCGTGAGATTACAACGGTTTTCCCCACATGGCAACAGACGGAATGGCCTATCGTTTGGACAATACATAGTACCTTATGAGTGTTGCTTTGACCAGGACGAGTTCAAGGGCACCAAAATAATTGGACACCACAGTCCAGCACTGTTAGTTCCTTTATGCCTTAAACACGGATCATGTATTCGATCGTACTAAATTTTTCATCACAGGGTGCCTGGCCTGAGGATGAAAGCCCTTTCACTGCGCGTTTGTCACGGGTTATTAAAACTATCTTTGAAGCCTCTCTTGCCTTTGTCGGTCAACCGCCATCAGACGTATGGCTTATTCTGTAACCAGTTCAATTCTATTTCAGACAGTCTTTACTTTCTTCTGTTGCTTGGAATTTACACCGATAAAAGAACATTTTGGCGACGCCTCAGGGGCGAAGGCATTTGTGTAAGTACTACGATCGCTTTGAAAGAATTTCAAAAATTGCACGAATGCATTCCCTAGGAAATTGGTCTTGAGGTAGCCTTCGGCCATGTGGTCTTTGGACCAAGCAGGAAAGGCCTTTGTTACTATGCATGTGAAAGGCATCGTTTTGGGCAACTTGTGACTTTTTGCAGACAGAATATTAATGACTGTTTTCAATGATGTTTACCCCACTCGTAGGGGTTTAAAATGTAGGAGAGCACCTTATCAACTAACCACGTACGCACCAGTCACTCTCTTCGTCCTTAGGTAGGAGTTTCTTCAGCACGCCCTCCTCTACCCGGCTCATCCTGCGGACCCTCCGCCGGTCCAGCCTGCTCCTCCGCCGGCCCTCCTGTATCACCCTCCCCGCCGCGCTCCGCCAGGCACGGGCCGCCGCTCCAGGCTCCTCTACAACCTCGATCTTCGTCTCCTCAAGGTTCCTGAAAAAATGTTGAGAGAATGGTTAGATAGTTGGATATTTGTTGCAATTTTTGCCTAAAATTGCTGCCTGTGACCATATGGTATATTATGATATTCATTTGTTGTAAACAGGAAACAGACGAATGTCACTGATCAACCTTATCATCTACAAGAAAGTAGAAATTTTAGTAGGTAGAGATATAAGTGACAGTCAATCTGCCAAGATCTCTAATGTTGGTGGTTCTTATTGCTTCCTACATATATGTTGGTGGTTCTTATTGCCTCCTACACTATTATAAGTATTACGGTACTGCAAGAAGGAAAGAAACTGGAAGTAGGCTTACTCAAGGAGGAAAGAAACTGGAAGTATGCTTACTCTATAGAAGACACGCTTGCTTGAGGTTTCATCTGGCCCCGACGAGAACCCTGGTCTGCCCTACGTTTTCCCTGGGGCGTACTCCCCTGGTCTACCGTGCGCTTTGCCTGGGGTGTACCGAGCTGCTCCGCCCTGTGTTTCTCCTGGGGAGTACCCTGGTCTGCCCGGCGTTTTCCCTGGGGCGTGCCCTGGTCGCTGTCGTAACTTTTGGGCCTCCGCCCCCACTCCCTGTAGATGGCTTCATCACAGTCCTGGCTGAAGTTTGTGTGAGTGCTCTGGTACTCCGAACCCAGGGAGTGAAGCGACTCGACGTCATAGCCGCCACTGGAGTCCTCTCTGGGACCTGCGACAGAAGCAAACAAGAAATCTAGGACATAGCATTTGTGAATTTGTTGCATAATATCGATTCTGCAAACGAAGTGAGGACTCTTACTACTGCAGTCAACTTCAATTTCGCAAGATGGCGATAGACACCATGACCTAACTTTGAGCGTCATATAGTATACTTTTTCCTGTTCGTCATTACACATAGTTTTGAACACTAATATATGAACCGGGACACATTTTTTCTAACATTGCAGACATTGATGTCCGTTATTAGGCAAACAAATATATTGCTATTAATAGATAACCTTCTATGTGGTCTCTACGACAAAATTAGAAAAATCTATTCTGAGACTTTTTCATATAGCGTCGACCTTTAAAGTCAATGATTGGTAATCCACCTCTGCTACCAAACTCGATTGCAAAGGTCACCGATAGGCATTGTATGAGCTCCCAATACGTTTTGTAACTAGCAAGATATCAAACAATGTCAAAGATCCGTAAGAGAATACTGCATGAATTGTGCCAATGAATATGCACATCACACTTCTAGTATGGTTAAATGCTTTCCTAGTAGTAACATCATTATATACGTGTATGTACGGTGGGCTTCAAAACCTATTAGTATGGCGGGGAGTTATTCAAAGAATCTATGTTGGCGAGTCGGTGTTTTCTAGAAAACCTAACAAGAATTCACCTTGCTGCTAAAATCCACTTCTATTGGGACTATATAATTAGCCAGAAAAGAAGCCAAACTACTGAGCTGTTAGTATTAAATGTACGTATAAAAAACCCGAGATAAATCCATAGTGTAGACATGCTTATCTCTTTACGTAATAGCATCTGTGTTATTCCTTACAATTAGCTATTTGGCTAATTTTCAAATAAGTAGATTGGGGTTTAATTAAAAGCGGACCATGGTAACCAATCATCGCATTATCACTCTTCTAATCACATAGAATCCATTATACATAATGTAAACAAGGTAAACAGGTAAATAAACAACAGGTAAACAAACAACGGTAGTTCCGTGACGTACCTATACTGGGTGCGGACGCCATGGTGTGTTTCTCCCTTGTGTCAGACCGATGACAGAACGTTGTAAGTCGGTCCCATGTATTGTCTGTGTCAAACCGCTAGGGACGGTGTACCTTACACACACTGTGAGTGGAATATAAAAGAAAATCTGCTATTATACGTGGGAATCCATAACCATTAACAGGAGTAGAGTGTGATAAGTAATAGAAGGGCACGTTTGATAATTACGTTTACCGAAGGAAAACATACTGTTTTAGCTCTGTTTCCTCTTCTTCTTCTCCAAAACAGTAAGGTCAATGTCCTGAACCAGACTGTCTGTTACCATGGAAACTAATGTTCGGTTACATCATGTTGCAATTTTATAGCAGGAGGGATTTAGACTCCTGTCTGACCACATATATGAATGTGTTTGAGTAAGATTGAACAGAGCAGACCATATGGGAAGGTAAACATTATGCATATACTTTGCAAATGTTACCTTTCTAGTTTTACTGCCAATACTGTAAGAGACACTATGTTCCTAAATATAGCCCAATCGTCGTTACCTGACGAGGTTGACCAAGCGTACTTGGTGTTGTTACGTTTTTACGGTCGCCATGATTTTAACTCGTGTCAAACACACGTCATCTACGGCCGGATGTCTCCTTCAAGCGTTTTATCACCACTGGAAAACGGCTATTAGCCATGTTTCTATCAGCGATGTAAAACGGTCCATTTCTTACCTCTGTGTACGGAGGTATTATTTTCGGTGTGTGTTTGTAGGTTTGGTTGCTTGTGTTCCTGTAATTATTTTCACATGCTAGACACGTCGATGACACTGACAGGTATTTAGGTAAGGTACAGAAAGAAAGGTACAGGAAAAGGTTTTTCTCATTTCCTGTCTTCGGTGTACTTCTACATGCATGTCTGTTGTCTTTTGCATACAGAATCAGCGAGAAATTCATAAAATAAAACAAGAGCTTTCAATAAATTTTTCACGGTGGAAGAAGAGGTTTGATTTCTTGTTGCGTGAAGAAAATGTGAGATGCGCAGATATTTATGCCTTTAGTCATAAATTTTAAATCCATTCATAACGCATTACATCAATGAAGCTAACGGTTACGTAAGATACTATACACGTGTGAGTAATATAATGTTTATGCGTACATATACTTCATCCTTTCGTCATTAACTTCAAACGTGAAACGTATAAATTACTCCTGAGAGGTTTCTCTTTCATGACTAAGGTTGAAATTATGTTTTGCCTTCAGTTTGTAAACATTAAAACAATTTTTATTCATTGGCCAATTTCATCATTTCATCAGGCAGAATCATTTGGCAAACTAAATAAAAATGAGAAATTACCA